TTGCCTCCTATCAGGTTTGCCTTGATAGGTGATATTTTTCCCCTTTTCTCTGCAAGCTGGCCTGTAACCCGCATATTCCACATCCTCTGTCAGAGCTCTGCTCCGCCCCGCTCACGTACGCCGTGCGGAGCACTTGTGCAGTCATGTTAATTCAATTCAATTCAGTGTATTTATTTAGCGCCAATTAACAACACGTCATCTCAAGGCATTTTACAGTACAGTTAATCAGTGAGAACTGTTCCACATCCACCGCTACTCCTCTGCACATCACTGTTGACATGTATTTATTTCTTAACTTGAAAAAAACTGCAGAAAATAATTTATTTACATTTATGATTAACCGATGCATCGGCCGGACGATATTTTTGCCCGATATAAATCTTCTTTTTCCCCTCTTGTATTGATCAGTGCATGCATGCTTTGGCCGATTCTTCGGCACATCCAGCAGTCATGTTCTGTTTGAAGATATTTTTTGACGTGTGTAACGTTGTTGTAGTGGATTAAGAGAAATAATTTGGGCTTTAAAGAACCAGCAGCACATATTGGGGATCACTTAGACTGATGTAAAAAAAAAAAAACAATCTTTCTATCTTAAATATAATTTTAAACTTTATTTAGGAATCACTTCCTGTGTTCATTGGGAAATCTTAAACCTGGTGCAGTTAGTCCAGCACTGCAAAAAAACATTCCGAAGTAGTCTTTAAATAAGCTTATTTTTTTCTAAATTTGAGCAGACAAATAAGATGATCTAAAAGAATGAGTATTTTCCATTTAAAGTAAGAACAATATACATTTAAAATAAGATAGCATGAGTTATTTTTCTTATCTTAGTTCGGTAGATCATCTATTTCATTAGCAAATTGTCTTATCTGCTAAAATCAAGGGGAAATACTCATATTTCAAGAATAATATAGTTAGACTTTAATTTTGCAGTTTTGTTTTAGAGGAAAGTTCCTGTGCTGCAAAAAAAAACCCCAAAATGAGTTAAAATGTCTTAATGTGTTTTTCCAGTTAATTTGGGACAATATACCTATTTCAACAAAAATTGGCTTACAGTGTTTTATTTTTTGAATTGTTGGCTTTGATTCTTAGCATAAGGTCCATCTGTCTGTCTGCATGGAGTTTGTATGTGTGTCTGATTTACTAGCGACCAGTTCAACCCGCCCTTCACTCGTAGATTGCTGTAGATGGGCATCAGCTCCCTGTGACCCTGAATAAGTGATGGATGGATGGAGCGAGTGAGGGTCTTCCTCATACAGACACCGAACCTCCTGCCCTCTTTTCACCTGAATCAAATTCTTTCTTTCTTTCTCTGAATGTGTTCCAACGCACAGTGTCTGGTTGGTGGGAGGCAGCGACCTCTGACCTCTGTGACTGTCATTGCTTCTCTAACGTTTTTCTGTTTTCTAATGTCAGTATTATAGTGCGTCAGGAATGCCAACCAAGCACCTGTCGGATAATATCTGCGCCGTGTGTGGTCAGCCTATTCTGGTAGATGTCAGTGAGGAAGGGATCATCGAGAACACCTACAGATTGTCCTGCAATCATGTGTATCCTTCCTGTCCTGCTCACACAGATGGGCTTTTCTTGCCAGTGGAAAGGGAAGTTAAGGTGCATCATGAGGTGTTGTCTCTTTCAAAGAGTTAATTTACAGTATTGTTTTGGGAACCACAACATGTAAAGAGGAATTGACAGGGTGTACCTGACCTTTATCCTACACTGTGTTTGATGCTATAAAAACACCATAGGCTACTTCCCCAGCGATGATTGTAATCTGCTGAACGTTGAAAACCACATGACTAGCAGTAATATGTGGTCAACTTTGGTTCATGCATGAACCCTTAAAGCATGGAATGATTTCTCCACATTCGCCAGAGAAAGTCTAACAAACCTGCATTTTTATGCTTTTTTTTGTTTTTGTTTTATTTTAATATTGCTTTTCTATTGTTTTAAATCAAAGTTATTAGGAACTACTGATGAAGATCCACAGAGCCTTTCTCAAGCTGCAGGTTGCAGAACCCTGCTCCAAAATAACCGATGCCTGTTCTACCTGTAAATAATACCACTCATTTAATGTTTTCTGCAAAAGTTTTCAAATCAGGGTTTATGGTAAACTGAAACTGATGATAAAACAAAAACTTTTGTAGCGAAAATATTTTTGTCAACTGAAATGAGTAAAATGACTGCCTGAAACTGTGTAGCACGCTTGTGAAACTAAAACATATGAGATGCAGCACATATCAGGGATCAGTTAGACTGACGTTAAAACAATCAGCATCAGTGTTTAAAAAAAGTTGATCTCGATTCCAAACTCTCAACATGAGCACCACAAAGATTACAGCCACTTATCCATCAAGCCTGATAGGTGTTAGCTCACATCTTTTAAAGGGGTGTGGAAGCAAAATATAACCTGTTTAGATTCTGAGAATCTCTTCTGTTACCGACAGCTCGTGGTTTTTTTTGTTTGTTCCAGTAAGCAGTGCTGGGATTGTTACCACAGCAGGCTGATGTTGGCTTTAGTCGCCCTGGAAAATACTGCAGCGTGCGTGACCCAGCGGCAGGCGCACTTAAAATGTGGGATCCTCATTTGTTCAGTTGGGAAACACGACTTCCAGACGGCGCCGGTGGATGTTTGAAAGTTGTGTAGCTGTGGTCTGAGGTTTGTCACCTGTCAGAGCTTTAATACTCCAGATATCACAGAGGGTTGCATTTAGGAGGAAGCTAGTGGTAAACTTGACTTTATTTTCCGTCAAGCATTTAGACCAAAAAATAAATAAATGCATGTTTCAAATCTACATTTTTTTGCCACTAAAAGGCTCTTTTAGTATAATCTAAAAGTTTTAATGTTCCACGTTTGTTTGGCAAAACCTTCTAATAAAACGCAATCCAACAAAGTACATAGAATACAGTTTATAATGTGCACAATAAATATATTTATAGTTTATTTCTTCAGAATTTATTTCCAAATTACTTTTTAAAATATTTTTTTCAGACATATCTTTTTTTGTTTTTAAGGTTTCATCTTTTAAATCATTTTCCTGATTTTCTTTTGATTAATTTTTTAAAATGTATTTTTCCTACAGATTTTGATCAAATTTATTTATTTTCAAACTTTACTGATTTATTTTTATCCCCCCCCCCCCCCCCCCCCCCCCGTAATGCTGCAGACCAATAGGAACGCTGTTGCTAACGTCCACACAGAGCAGACTTTTTATTGGTTGAAGTTTGCACAGGTTTTAAATTCCTCTACATTACAAAGACTCACTTTTTGATTTTTCTGCCCTTTTCTACAAATTTTCCTTTTTGCAATATGTTCTTTTCTTCCACCAATGTTGGAACTTTTCTCTCCACAGTCCGTCTCCTGCAGCTGGGTTGTTGCACAAACAAAACAAAATTGGGATTGTTTTTTTGTTTTAATATTAATGCTGTTTTCTACAAACTCCTGGAATTTGCTGATGAGTCTCTAACTAAATTTCAAGTCTTTACATGAAGCCTTAACTCCTCATCCAGTTTCCATGAGTTCTGCATAAGAGGCTGGTGCATTGTGGGAAAGAAGCAGATGTGCCCGTACTGCAAAGAGAAGGTGGATCTGAAGAGGATGTTCAGTAACCCGTATCCTTTTTACTGTTTCATCTGTAAAACATTTAATAAACTCCATAACTTTCATTTACTGTTTTTTTTTCTTAATATTAAACTGTTATTTTAAAAAATAAAACTGACCAATAAGACTGTTTTTAATCTTATAAGGGTATTTTGAGGGGAATAAAGAGAACACAACCTGTTTTTGACAGAAGCAGAAGTTTGACAATTGCTGCTTGTTAATGGTAATTAACTGTTGGACCTTATATGTTGGCAGCTTGCATATCAAGTTCTGGTTCCTTTCAGTTTAGGCCATATTGGAGCCATTCAAATGTAGTAGATGATTATGACTAATGGCTAATTTGAAATCCCATAAGTTTTAATATAAACCTGTGAGGTAATGTCTGTCCAATGGGGAGACTGCTGCCTGCAGTTGTCAGGGAAGTAAACACAAAAAGGTATTGCTTTGAAAATATAAAGTGCTTTATCCAAGGATAGTGATTGAAAGTTTAGTGGAAGGAAAAAATAGTGTAAAAGAAACTAGGATAAGAAAGGATGTTTCCATGTTGTGGATTACAAATAGTCAAGATTAACAGACAAATTTGCTTCTGTGTTTTCTTAGCGACTGAATATTGTTTTTATTAGCTGTTGCAAATAGAAGTATATAAATACAATTCATACTTTGAGCTTAACATTTTAAAAGAAAATAAGCTATTGTTGTATCATGTACCCGTTCATTTCCTGAACTGCTTCCTGAAGCTGGGAAAGGCCACACGTGATGTATGGACAGCTTTTAGACTGGCTTCGATACCTGGTGGCCTGGCAGCCCGTCATTATCGGCTTTGTTCAAGGTATCAACTACACCCTGGGTCTGGAGTGATCCCGGACTAAAGACCTCAATGGACAGAAGATATGCACTGGCTCAAACGCATCGGGCCTAACATTCTAAAACCCATCAAAGGTGTCTCTACTTTTTGTAAATATTTATAGGCGCATATCTGTATTTACGGTTGAGTTTAATTACTGTTCTCACTCTGGAGCTCTGTCACTTTCCAAGGATTTGTTTCACATCTCATAACCATGTTAATCATGATTTGGTTGAACCAGTAAAATGGTTTTCAAGATTATTAGAAAGGTGCTTTTTACTGATTGGTCTTAAATATTTGTTTAAAGTGTCATGCTGGAATTTGTGATGTCTCTGTCTGAAAGTTGAGTCATAAATCTTGAATGGAAATCATGACTTCCTCAAATACACAAACCCAGATTCTCTTCTTTTTATTAATCATCTGGCTGCTTTATACATTTGGTGATATATTTTTAGCTTATAGAGGCCTAGGTTACTTCAAAACTGAAGCAAGTCATCTTGTGACTGAAAGCATTAGGTCACTGGGGAAAACCTTTTGATCATATTAAATCCAGGATTCCTACTCACCACTGCATGACACTTTGATGACCCTTCACACACCGGTTATCGCTTCAACTATATTAAAAGGTTAACATTCCCTAGTAGCCCCTGAGAACTAAAATCAATTGTTCTCACTAAAGTAACACTTTTAGGCGGTAGGGACGCTAGATGTGTAACCTACAGGTTTAGGGCCCCTGAAAGCAACTGGCAGAACGGCACTTTCGCAAAGTGAATAAATCTCCATATGTTGGCAAACGACTTGAGACCAGCAGGTTGAAAAATCATGGAGGCTCTTGCAAAGAGAAGTCTTGACTAATCCGTAACCAGAGAACCAAAAATGTCTGTCCAGGTAAGGGTTATATCTGTTTTGTATACAACTTTTAGCTTGATTAGCTCAGACTGCCGTAAAGAGGCGCTCCAGATCAAATTACTTATTCAGAGACGGATCCGCTCCTCGCATAAATTTGTACCAAAGTATTAGAGATAAAAGATTTTGGTGGATCTCTGTCTGAGCTGCCCCCAAGAACTCGCCTACATAACTCTAGAGCAGACTTCCCCAATTTCGGCTCTCTGGGCCAAGAGGTGCACCATATTCTGTGACCCAGCAACACAAAAATAATACCTAAACCCAAAAAAAGTGTGTAGTGAAATACATGCTGGCCTGCGTCAAAGAAAATGGAAGGATCAGTAGAGGTGGGCAGACCGATCCTAGGTTCTATACTATCGATACCATCGCTCCTATTGATATTGAACAATACTCGTTAACACTAACTGCAGCAGATTCACTAGTCTCCCCGTCTGTGTCACAGCGTCAGACCAGCATACCCATAGTCGATATGTATGCGCAAGATGTCAGCTTCTCGTTTATCTCTTTAGTTTTGTACCAAAAATAAACTTTTAACTCCCTTTAGTCATGTACAAAAAATCGCCATACGCTTCAAAAAACAGCAAAAAGTAAGTAAATTATTTTTCTGTACATGACTAAAGGGATAAGCCCATTGAGGTAGTTTTTATGTTTATTTTTTGTACAAAACCTCAGGGATAAACGGGTATTACCTATGGATACGCTGGTCTGACAGGGTATGCTCATCTGACAGAAGATTGGTTAAATGTAGTGAAAACACAAGTTTAAATAAATAGGCACATGAAAAAAGCATGAGCAAGAAAACATCAAGCTACACAAATGGAGAGAGGAGACCAAACAGATCCTCGACCCTCAGATAGACGTCTCTGACAGAGGCGTTTCAAATCTCCAGAGAATATTCAGGTAGATAAGAGTCATCACCTTCATATTAACTTTCAAAGTAGACACTATCAAGTGATATAACAACTATATCAAGCGATACAAGGCTTCGTCTATATAAGACTAACTGCGGATCCAGACATTTGAATTGAGAAAGCTTCCTGGAGAGGTGGCGAAACGTCTTCAAATCTTGGAAACCAAGTCCAGTGGATATTTTTTGAATTTTTACGGAATAGACACTATATGTCATGTGTTACTAGATACCACTCAGAAAGTGTAGTTGAGACCTTGAAAGAACCCAGCACATTTATCCGATTGAAACATATTATCTAAATGGGCAAACATTTGCTAATCCTTTATTTATCCCACAATGTGGAAATAAAATTTATAGAATTAAAGCAACATGCAAGTTCACACAATACAAACAAAATTGCATAAGGATTGAAAGATAAAATATAAGAAGTGGATTTGGAAAAAAAACACTATGAACATAACATTTTCATTGAATACTAATATTATTCGATTGTAATAATAAAATAAAAAACACACAAAAAGAGAGGTTCCATAATACACCAAGCTTAAATAAAATTGCCGTATCGTATCGATATCGGCAATACCGACCCTGTATTTACTAGGTATCGTGATCACTCTGCTCTAAGGATCGGATCGGTCTGTGAATGAATCACGCGACAAAGAGCGCCACAGGCTAGACGCTGTTGGCCAACAAAACATATCACACATATCTGCTCAGATATTTTTTGTTTCTCTGATGTAGAACTTATCCTAGAGCAGTGGATATGACCTTGTCTTTACAAGAAACTCCAAAACTTCTCAATCTAGTCCAAAGGGGTTACAAAACACACTGGTTCATTTAGCTACGATGCATGGAAAATAGCCGATAATCCTGGAATCTATTAGTCTAGCGTTCCTGGTTCCTAAGAGTCACACAATTGTCTCAAATTAAACTAATTTTTGCTTCAAAAGATGCATAGCAGTGGGAAAAAACACACTCTGGAAGAAACTTAAAGAGTAAACTGATTACTAAAGTTGAAAAATAAAAGATTTTGATCAAACTGGGTATTTAAATAAATGTTGCTGTCATTTTTAACATAAGATTTTTAAAGGTCAATTTTAAAGGCTAAGCCCTCAAATCAATAAAAAGCTTGTCTGTACAACAAGCCTAAAATGAGAAGTTTCTATGCAAACTAGAAATAAACACCAATCCTCTAAACATCACATTGTTTAGATGCTGTATTATCCAAACAATGCACATTTACAGGGTTTCCACTGAATGACGATGCACAACCACATACATGATCTCAATGACTCAGGATTCACCAGAGAACCTATCGAGTTCAAAGGAAAAAAATAGGCCTATAGACGGAGCTGAGAGGAAATCCCCCACGTGGATAAAGGGGAAGTATGCATGAATAAATGCAGCAGTCCAGCGCTGCAGCCAGAAGGTGATACTGACTGAAAGAAACAAGCATGAAGCTGCAATCTGCCATTGAAGGTAATTTTGCATGTAGTTTTTGTATCTATTATTTGTTTGCATTTGTTTGTTTGTGATATTTTTATGGTCTCTGCTGCAGTTTTTGGATGTGTATTTCTGCTGCTTGCAGATGGATTTCCAGGTCAGTATTTAAATATGACATTGTTTTAATATGTATTTTATTTTTTTCTCGCTTATCTGTGATGTTCAGTTTCAGACTTTGACTCTCCAAAGATCATCGGGCCTCTTCACAACAACATCAAAGTGGATCCAGGTAAAACTTGCATAGCTTCATGTCTGATAAAAGTATCTTTTTTATGAGTAAAATCCATATTTTGCTTTCAAATGAAATATGTTCAAAGCAGTAATTCCAATCCTGGTTTGCTGATCTTTTCAGGCGAGCTGCTTGTTCTGCACTGTGATGCTTTTCCAAACTGCGATGAAGACGAGGCTGTGATCTACTGGCTTGTCAACGGCACTTTCCCAGAGGAAACACCCAGCAACGACAGAATAATCGAATCAAAAGAGTAAGAATTATTTGAAATTTCATTAAAAGCAGAAACACTTAAACGTCTAAATCATCTTAATGTTTGTGCTTTAAACCTGGTTCTGATCACAATCAACCATCCTGTTCTAGATCTTTAATGGAGGGCTCCATCCTGCAGAAGAATCTGCTGTTAAAAAACGTCACATCGGACGATCTTGAGTCCACCTTCAGCTGCGTTGTAACAAATGCAGTGGGAATGGCACAAAAGTTCATAAAGTTAGCAAACACAGGTTGTAGCAGTAACTGAAAGGGACAATAGGTTTTAACCTGTAACTTACACATCTGACACTATGACGCAGTATTACGACCTTTTTTTCAATAAAAAAAATAAAGTCGTAATACTAAGAAAATACAATCAGAATATGAGACAAAAAAAGTGTTTTAAGAAGACAAAAGCCCCACTTGAATTATTATTATATAGAGAAAACTTTACATTCAGGTAGGCTACTTCTTAATCTGGAAATGTTACCACTTTTTCTTTGGTAATATTAAGGCTTTATTCTCATAAAGTTCAACTTGAATCTTTATCCTGGTAATTCTCTGACTTTATTCTGTTAATATGATTACCTTATTATGGTTATATAATGTTTTAATCTTGTAATGTTACGACTTCAGTCTGGTAATATACGAGGGACGTTCAATAAGTAATGCCCCTTACCCTCCTCCAGTTTTTTGATCTAGCTGAAATTTTTGCATGTGCAATTATTTATATCTCTATAGATTAAATAGTAAATTAGGGCTTTGAACTAATTGTGGTTTCTGATTTATAGGTTTTCGAACTGAGTCAAGTCTGAAACGGAGCCTGTTGAGTGTCGAGCAGTGATTCATACCCCACAGAGACTTGTGATAAAATGAAACTAATTTATGGTGATGATGATTCCCCATAATATGACAGTAAAATGTTTAACAAGATCATATGATGGCAAATCCTCTTCAAGTCCCCCGTGGTCTGCGGTCTTTCAAATACAAAAACCATATCACTGCTCGACACTCAACAAGCCCCTTTTCAGACTTGACTCAGTTCCAACTGTAAATCAGAAACCACAATTATTCCAGAGCTTTAATTTACTACTTAATCTACAGAGATATAAATAATTGCACGTGCATAATTTTAGCTAGATCAAACAACAGGAAGTGGTTCAGGGGCATTACTTATTGAAAGCCCCTTTTATATACTTGAATATGGTTATATGACTATTTTAATCTGTATCTTAAAGTTTTTAATCTGGTAATGTTACGACTTTAATCTGGCAATAAAACTACTTTATTCTGGTATTATTATATTATTATACTATTCTGGTTATATAGCTAGTAAACCTAATATTAGGACTTTCTTCTTGTATGACTTAATCTTGGTGATAAAGAAAACTATCTCTAGTATGGCGCTAATGTTGTAATAACATTGGTTGTTCAGTTTAAGGAATACCTTCAGTTACAACAGAAAAAAAACATAAAGACATTTTATCCTCTCGGTTTCTGTTTTGAGGCATTTTAAGATGAAACCGAAACACTGACTGGAAATCTCCTGTGAAAAGTTCATAGTTTCAAACACTCTGAATTGTTTGTGTGAAAACTAAACAAACTGTGATTGAATTGTTTTCAACTGTCAATACCTGCGTTTAGACGCCCCATTAAGGCACTTTATATTCACTGTGGAAACAAAATAAAAGAAAATCCTAAACTTTTTGCTCTCGCCTGCTTTTTGTTTACTTTGCTTTAAATGTAAAAAGCTGAAAGAAGTGAAGTGGGTTATTGTTGAATATCGCTATGATTCTGAGCTGTCATTGGTGCAGTTTGTCCTGCCATACGGATCCTCACTTTATCATTCCTTATGGAGACAACACATAACCAAACAGTAAAGAAGAATAAAGACTGATTAAGTTATAGCTGTCAGATAAATAAATATACTCAATTTATTCTCTTAAAGAGACAGTTAAAAGAAGAGAAATCTCTGACTTTACTTCATAAGATATTGGGGCTAAATAAGCATATCCCATTTTTATGATGGTTTATCCATCATATCCCGAGGAGGCCTCTGGTTCCAGACCCTCAGGGAAGTGCAGATTACTTTAGCTTTTGGTGGTGCGGTTCATGGAGAAACTCATGGTAGACGAAAAAAGGACTGGCTCCTAAAAGACATTTCATCCCAGTGCTTTCACCCCCACCATGGACTGCTCTCCCTGCTTCCCTCTGGGAAGAGGCTTTGCAGCATTCAATGCAGGTGAAGCTAAATCTGCAAGTTTCCTCCCCGCCCCTATCAGCCTGCTGAACTGTTGAAAAAACTCTAAATCATGTCAGACTCTGCATTGCACTGATTGCACCATGTATATTTAATATTTCATAAAATAAAATACTTTTTGTCTTTATTTGACTTAATCTGAATCTGCATGGCATCGAGAGAAGCAAATAGGACTGCATTTATTTATTTTTAGGAATCTTGGGTTTATTAGGGCCATACAGAGACTTAGTATTACCCAAGTAATGCAATTAGAAAAAAATATTTTATTAATCATTCAAACTGCAGAGAAGTTTAACTCAAGGGCTAAACTGATCTGAGTTTACAGTAAAGTTGAGCACTTCCTTAATCTCGTAATTTAGCATTATTCTCTTTATATCACAAGTTTAATCTGGAGACATTACCACTTTTAATTTGGCAACACTCCCATAAATAAACAGTTCTAATTCTGTTTATATTCTGATTTGCAAATCGGTAACGTTACATCTTTAATTACATAATGCATGATTTTAATCCTGTAACATCAAGATTTTTAATCCCATAATGTTTCAATTTTTAACACCCTTCTTTTAAAATTTTGTTCTGGTAGACTTAATGATTTTAATTTGGTTTTTGTAATAAAAAAAAAAAAAAAAAGAAAATCCTAAATTGGCCCCAATACTCAGTAATAATAAAATATTCAAAGTTTTGGCAGATACAATATGAAGTTCTTTGCAAACATTCATTCACCTACTTCAACATCTTGTCAGATTAAAACCACAAATTAGAATGAATTCTGTGGGGATGGTGTGATAAAACAAAGTATGGCATAAATGCGAGTTGATAGGCAAATGATTTATTTTATTTATTCATTTCACAAATGAAAATATCAAAACTTTGATGTGCATTCATAATCAGCCTCCATTCCACTCTATTAAAACCCAGTACATCCAGGTGCCTCATTAGAAACTCTAATCAGTGGAAATTATTCCCAGTATACATGTAGCTGTCCTCTAATGGCCTCGGTTAGTTAGAGAAAAACATACAGCATCATGAAAAACAAGGAACAAAGAACGGGTCGGGTAGACAGAGATGGATTATTTAAGTCCAGAAGTCAGAAGCTTTAAACATGACACAGCTGAATTCATTGAATGCTGCTAGGAAGTCTGGAGTCCACAGCATTAATTGGCATGAAAAGAGCCAGACGTTTCCTGTTTCCCCTCGACAGGTAGGAGACACAAACAAACATGTAGGGAAAGTCTACTCAGATAAGAAACATTTCTGACCCACATAAAAACAACTCTAGAATAAAACCAACACTGCATATTACCATTAATTCACCACCCCCATAGTTAGACATGGCTGGGGCATAGTCATAATGCGGGCTGCTTTTCCACATCAGAGACAATGATAAAAAAAAAAAAACAGATCTTTAATTCAATCCAATCCATGAAGTCTAGAGATAGATGCAGCTAAAATTGGGTGGAAGACCAGAGAAACAGTTTTCACAAACACTCTTCGACCCGATTTCATGGGCACAGACAGGAATCTGTGCAGGTATGAAACACTGGCTCATTCCACTGCAAATCTGCAGCTAGGGTTGCAGCAAACTGTGATTCTAAAAATATCTACTCAGGACAGTAGTAGTGTTTTCAGCTATTTACCCTTTTTTCCTCCACCTGATAATTTTCCACTACTTTTGCAGGCGTATTGCATGAAAACCTGACAAATCAAACGCAGAGGACTGTCTGTGGTTGTAATGGGACACGATGAGGGGAAGGTGTTGGAGTATAACTACTGAAACCAGTCAACATACTGGGGGCAAACAAGGAGACCAGGGCCCCAAATCACAAAGAAACCTCCTTTATTAGCCTAAAAAGGGCTTCAGATAGATGACAGCAACTCTGAACTACGATAAGCACTTTTTAAATTAGTGAGGTTTGGTTGAACTTGTTAGGTATGCTGTTGACTTTCAAGACCTGGTTGGTTGATGAGACAAAAAAAAGACAAAAAAAAAAAAAACTAAATGAGACATGATTAAAGGTGCTTAGTCATGTTATACACCTCTAAAAAAAAAAAAGTCCTTTATAAGCCTGAATAGCATTCCAGCACTGGATACAATGAACAGGCATAAACAGAGGTTTGCACCATCTGCTGGTGGTACAGCAAAACTACAAGAAAGCCGAGATACAACAGAGCTCAGCGCTTTATAGAAAATCCTCCCCAGGGCCCTCTATCAGAAAATCAAAGGGGAAAAAAATCTTGTTCTTATCAGGAGAAAACAGGGAAACAGCATTAAGGTAAGAAATATTTCAATTAAATAAAATGTAAAAAAAAAAAAAAACATAGGCTAAAACCTGTTTCATTGGATTAAATATAAATGAAACACATCAACATGATATTTCTATGGTAGATGCATTGTTGATGAGCCAAATGTTTATTTTACTGTTTGTACTTGGGCTGCAGAGACCAACACTAGCATTGCTATCACTATTGCTATCACTAGCAGGAGTGCTTGAGTCAAAGCTCATTTATCAAGGGATCAGAGGCACATTTCTGAATGGATTTTATCTGCTTTTAACGTCATTTTTTTTTTTACTGCTTCAATATTTAGAAATAAAACTCCAGAGATGAGATGGCATCACAGCAGACGTCTGGATGTCCTTTAGGTTATGGATACTGACTTCACCATGTCCAGCACAGGAGAGCTCGGCTGGATTGTGGGTGTACTGTCGTACTGTTACACTTTCATTTTTTGTGTATTTATGTGTATTTTTATGTACATATTTTTAGGGCTGAAACAATTAAAATGTGTGAGATATATATCTATATATATATATATATATGTATATATATATACATATATACACACACACACACACACTTATCTGTCCGTATGCTCTATCCAGAACTCCTCAAGTGAAAAAGTTTTAGTTTGACCTAAATAATAGGTGAAACTTTATCACTGAGAAAGTTTTAGTCTGCAATACCACAAAGTATTTTATTCCTCTAACATTTTCTATATTTGATTCAAAATTTATATTTATCCTTCTATTTGTTTACCTTTGATAAAATGACATAACTAGACGTTGCCCATTTAACCCATCCAGCTGCTAAACTCATCTCCACCAAAGTGGATGAAAAAGTTGATCAACTCTCAATATTTGTTCTCATTATTATACTGTTTATGTTTCCTCTATCCTCTCTACTATAGACCTAACATTTTTTCCACTTAAGATACTGAAGAGTAACGTCCTGCCGCCGTTTCTGCGACTAATGCTGGTCAGCACCAGAGGATGGTCCTAAAATAGAAGTCGGACCCAACATGACTTTTAACAAATATGTATTAAATTAATTGACCTTCGGTTTAGGTTTCTCATCCAAAATTAGGATTAAGATTAACCTTTAGAACAGGGGATAAACCGAGGATATTTAAATTAAGTTTCCTTGGTCAACTTTGGTTCTTTTAGGTTTGATTTAATTTTATTGGGCAAAATCTAAACAGCCATGTAAAAAGAGCAGTGTTTAAACATCTGTACGAAAAGCTTTGTGTAAAAAAGTTGAAATTGGAGTTTAAATTAAACCTTTCAATTGCATTAAGTTTTTAAATGAAGAATGAAACTAAAAACATTTAAAATTCAGCTGAAATAGCAAACCACTTGTATTTTCTTGTATTGTAAAGATGGTGGCGCCCTGCCCTGCAGCAGAGGGCCTCTCTAAGGCCCTGGATCCTCTGGGAGGAACTTTTATCTTATCAAGGTAAAAGTTTAAAGCTTTTTTCCTAAAATGACATCACTTGGAGCTTCCTTTAGTCTCAGGGATCTTTATTAAAACGGGCCATGACCTCCGAATATGTTGATAGTGTCTAAGATGAATTTTATTCTAGCAGCTTCTCCTTATTTGCTCCTTAACAACATAAATAAGCAAGCGTAGCCTGCATTAGTGTGTTTTATCCATGTTTTCATCTATTATATGCTAAAATGTTCAACTCCTTGCATAGTCGGCTGTTTACTGGAACCAGTTTGACTTGGAGCCAAGTCAAAGTTTAAAGCCCGACTCCTCCAGGCAGCGCTGCAGGTTGGTTTTACGATCCGGATACGGCGTTTCTTTGGCCTTCTTGATGACAGACGCGCAGTCTTTCGATAAATCTCCCAACTTCGCTGAAGGCTTAAGTAACGGCTGAAGAAGTTCTTGGTTGGTTTTGCTCGCCATCCCGAAGAGGAAACGCAAAAACAAATCCAGATGGCCATCTTCACACTGCAGGCTTTTTTCCACCGCTGCCTTGTAGACATCCATGATTTTTCCTCCTTTGGAAAACAAGGATTTCACACCGTTGCTGAAAATGTTCTTCTCGTGGTTTGTGTATGAGAGGAACGCATAAAGAGCAGCCAGGTACTCCTGCATGGTGGGGTGCAGGAAACTCACCACGTCCTCGTCGAACAGCACCTGTGGGGTTGTTGTGAACTGTTCACAAATGCCGCTGAAAACCACCGCCTCCAGGGACGTACCTTGAGGCCAGTTCCTCCGGAGAACGCTGAACTTGCCCTTTTCCAACATGGTAAAAGCTTGTTTCCCCATCTCCAGAAGGAACGCCTCCTCTTCCTCCTTGCTGCGATTCGGAGCTTTCCTTCTTTCCTTGCGAAGCTGATAGATGAGCTTCAGCAGGAGCTTGGTGTACATATACGTGATGCTCCTGGGGAGTTCCGCTGCTGCTCCCTTCTCCCTAAAGATGCGCTGACACTCATCTGCAACCATTTTGCAGAACATGGGCAGATAGCACATGATGTGGAGAGTTTTTAATGACTTGACATACTCAATGACTCTGGCTGCCTGATTCGGGTCCTTGAACCTCTTGTGGAAGTACTCTTCCTTGTTGGCGTCGCTGAAGCCTCTTAGTTCTAGCCGATCGTAGTGGCCGTCCCACGGGGCGTAGGGGTAGACCTGAGGTCGGGTTGTAATCAGGCACCAGGAGCGGTTGATAAGCCTCCCTCTGAGCATGTTCACCACGTTGATATGCAGGCTGATGGGATCGGTGGGGTCAGAGTGGATTTCGGTTTCATTAAAGTTGAAGTCGGTGTCGTACTCATCTAGACCATCAAAGATAATCAAGGCTTTTTCATCCTCCAGCTTTAACTTATTCTCCCTCAGCTTCACCGTCTCTGGGTAAAGCTTCTCTATGATGTCCCGCAGGGAGACTTGTCCTTCGTCATACTCCTTTAACTCTCTGAATGTCAGAGGGAAGACGAAGAGGAACTGCTGGTGTGATCGCTCCAGAGACCAGTCGCGGACTAGCTTTTTGACAAAAACGGACTTCCCTGATCCGGCCACTCCTTGGAGGAACACCATCCTTGCACCGGTGCGGCGGGACTTCTTCTTGCTGAGAGTTTCTGCAAAAGGAACCGGTGGGTCTGGCTTCTTCTTAGTGTTCAGCTGGGGTATATTCAACACTTCATGTTCAATATTTGGGCCATTGTCAGTGTCTCCTACAATGAGGAAGTCTGTGTAGAGGTCATCCATGGGCATTGTTTCTCCTTCCATGATGGGTTCCTCACAAAACTTCCTCTGCAGAGCACCAGCTAGTTCATAACGCACTTGATCTGAAATGAGAAGAAACAATCCGTTGAGACGTAGATTCAAACCCTTTCAGTCTTTTTGGGGATCATCAAGTTTAAACATTGATGAAAAATGGTAAGATAATTTTAAGGGATGATTTCATAGCAGCTATTCAAACCAAAACCTTCACCATAAATCTAACTCTCATCTGAAGTTTGTACTTTTTTGGCCATTCCTTGGATGTACAGCTACCAACGGATATGTTAACAGATAATGAGTCTTTGAGAACCTTTATGATGTGAATATTGTTCCATTATTGTTGCAGTCAAAGAATGCATGTTTTACATTATAATAAATATAAAAAAGAAATAAAAAATGATTTAATCAAAGGTTTTTTCAGAGTTACTTTGCTGTTTTCTGAGAATTCTTTCAAATTAGAAAAGAAAAACAAAAATCAGATTTAAGCTGCACAGTGGAGCAGTGGGTAGCACTTCTACCTTGCAGCAAGAAGGTTCTAGGTATGATTCCTGGCCCGGGATCTTTCTGCATGGAGTTTGTATGTTCTCCCTGATCATACGTGGGTTCTCTCTGGGTACTCTGACTTCCTCCCACAGTCCAAAAACATGACTGTTAGGTTAATTAGCTTCTCAAAATTCTCCTTAGGTGTGAGTTTGTGTGAATGGTCGTTTGTCTCTGTGTTGCCCTGCGATGGACTGGCGACCTGTCCAGGGTAAACCCCGCCTCTCGCCTATTGACAGCTGGAGATAGGCACCAGCACCCCTTGCGACCCCACTTGGGATAAGAGTGACGGAAAATGGACGGATTTTCAGATTTAATTTCTGCCAAATTAAATTCTTTTATTTTTCACAGATGGTATATTTAAAAAACAAATCTTCAAATGTAATAAAATATAGTTATAGAGAATAATATTTTCAATGCTTTTTTTTTCAAATGTATAGATTTTTACATTGAGTTTTACAAATTGCATTCTTTTCAAATTACGTTCTCACATTCTCTTCACTTCCAGCCCAATATGAATGCTCGCCACGGACCAATAAAAATGTTGCTAACATCCAGCAGACCAATAAAAATGCATCTTTGCTCCTCATTTCAGAGGAACCCCCACAGGCATGACTTTCCTAAAAAAAAAAAATCTATATATTTGTTAAGGAAAGCTCTTTGTTTACACCTTGAAGCTTTCACTCTAGTTCTTTTTTGTAAAAGAGATAAATTGGAACAAACTCTTTAAATACAGTTAATAACGAAATAACCATGAGACATGATGCTAGGGCTGCAGTGGGTTTCTGCCCTTTTCCTTGCAGCGTTCTGGAGGCAGGCCTTCTGCAGGTGATCCGTTTTGCCCTAATTGGTGCTCGTCTGCTTTAAAAGCTGTCATACAAGCAGCAGACAGGAGGCTTCTCCCTCTTGCCTCCTCAGAACCCCGCTTGCTTTGGTTTGTATCCTATGGTTGGGTTTTGTTAGGTTTGTTTGCATTTGCTTATTTCTATTTTGTTATGGGTTTTACATTAATCCATGTTTGATTTCCTATTTTATTTATCCTTTTTTCAGGTTTTGTTTCTTTAGTATAATTTAATTAATTCATTTTCAGTTTAAAGAAAATCCTTGTGTGGTCTCCTTTAATGTAACCCCCACCAAACAAGCCTGGAAATTTTGATCTAACTCAGATCACAGAAGATGCTTAGGGTTACAGAAGGCAGCTGCTTACCAACCAGGCTCACATATGTGATTTTATTTAAATTTTCAATTGAAATAACCACAAGCATGTAGATGTCTCCCTCTAAGGTTGGGCTGCCAATTCAATTTCCACTGATAGTTGATCAACAGGCTTTTGTTAAACTACAGTCATAACAATCGGCTGTGCTGAAGCAGGGAAACCTCTACAACCTAAAGGACAGTGGCCCTCAGGGCCCGACTTTAGGCAGACAGGCTCTGAGGGCACTGTTGCCAACTTAGTGACTTTTCAGACCCATCAAGTGAGTTGTTTAAATAAATAAAAAAAGCGACCAGTGACCAACTCTGCTCCATTTCCCCTCTGAAAATGTGTCCCAGACGCATAGCTTCCGCTGATCCTCCCTTGGATCACAAAGCAGGATGTAATTCAAATTTTTAACATGGCATTTTGTTTTTTCCCTTTTCCCTTTCTTTGAAACTGTTGCCCCAAACTACATCCTCCAGGTATTTAATTCACACACAGCCTCATCCGCTGTGTGCCTCTGCAGTTTAATTTTGAATTTGATAACATATGATTCATTTAGATAATTTTGGTTCAGGTAAAATATTATTCAATAATATTTTTATAGAGTTCATTTTTAGTTTTAAAGCTGTTTTAAGTGTTTTTAATCACTTCCTGTCTTCCCAATGTTAGTATTCCTCTATGACCAAATATGGAAATTGAACTATGGAGTCATCTTGTGAGTGCTGGAGACCTTTGGGAAGCTAAAAGCCACTTTCCTTGCTGGAATTTGGCAACACTGTTCAGGGTTTTATGTTTTGAAGGCCTTGAAAGCTTTCATATCCACCATCTATTGTTACAGACTAAAGTTGATCCCCTCTGCAGTTTGAAAATTGTGTTTTGTAACACTGAGATAATTTTGAAAATGGGATAAATTTCAGTTTTAGAATAGCCTGGGTTAAAAATTGTGGTCATGATCTAAAAACTGTTAAATTATTCAGGTTATGTGATCTTAACATTGGTTTGGTCCGAGTTTGAGGGAAAAAAAAGGCTAAAACAGCAGAAATCTAAAAGGATGCAGTAGGAGTGTGAATAATAATCATTTTATATCAATGCATCGATCCAACAGCAGACGATCCAATGCATCAATATGTCCGCAAAAGTATCGATTCATGTTTTTTTCCCTCCGGTCTATTTTGATCCATTTGCTCCCTGACATAATTCTCCCTCCCGTGCTGCGGTGGCGCTAAACCTATAATGCCCTCCTACCTCGCTTCCTGGTTATACTCTTAGAGGAGGGTGTCAGAGTGAGCTTGACACAGACATTTTTGATTTATGTTCAATATTGAAGCGTGGTCTGTGCTACACACTGTAGGTCTAGATACGGCCGAGACGATGAGGAAGTGGGGGCGAGTTTAGTTCCACAACGGAGTGACATGAGGGCCAAAAAGAGCGGAGATCCAGGTGGACAAAGGGTCCCAGCGTTCTCACGCACCTCGTTCTTCTAGCTGTTCAAACTTCATGAGTTGTTTTCCACAATTTCGGTCATAAAAAAAACAAGCCGGCATCCTGTTTGCGGCACTGTCTGTGGTCAGTTACAATTTGGGAGAGGTGCAGCGGAGCGTCTGTGGAGGAGGTATTGCATTGCACTCATTGCACTGATTTTGTGCAGTATTTTTTGATGCAAGGCCTTTCAGAATCTATAACACAGGGGAATTATTATTTTCCATTGAATGAGGTTTTAATAGGAATAGGTGGAATGCAACTTTTCTACTTCTGTTATTTGCTGTTGTTCCTAAAATAAAATGCATAACGATATTATAGCTTTCATTGATAAAATTCAAATTTGAATCATTGTAAGGTGAGAAAAAAAACAAAAAATTAACCAATTAAACGAATCGTATTGTGGTGTATTCTTGAGTATAGAAAATAATCGAATCGTTGGGTCAGAAAATCGATACTGAATCGAATCGTCATGATGGATGTGATTTACACCCCTAGGATCCAAACAGTTTTTAGAATAATCTAATAATTTGTGTTGTTTTTAAATTGAAATCAACATGCTGTGTCGACTCACTTTTTATGCACAGGGTCTTCAAATAGTCGGATAGGTAGTTATTATCGAGGCTGACCAGAATAGTTCGGGTTATCTGTATAGACATTTCGCAGGTGAAGGTCTCCAGGAGTCGGTCCACCAGATCCACAAGGTCCATGCTTTGAGAGGCACTGAAAGGCTGTGGGTAATAAGTCCACAGCTTCCACTTAAAGATCGAAAAGTCCACCTGCAGCTGCTTCAGGGTGTCACACAGAGCCTGTCAGCAGAAGGACAAATGACATCATTACTGGTATGGTTTGGACGGCGTGGTGAAGGTAGCGTTGCAGCAGGAACAGACCGTAAAAGTGAATTTCAGCGTCAGGGACGGATGCTTGATCTCCTCTGGTTCTTGGATTAATTCCAGCTTGTTGGAGGATTCTTTGGTTTCATCTTTGCTTCTTTCCCTGGTAAAAAAAAAAATACAGTCACAAGTTTCATTACATTTCAGGTCGACTTATTAAACTGTTGCAAATATAACTGTTCTCACTATTGCTACCTGGGAATGATCTTTTCACAGTCATTGCTGTCAACGGAGTAGCAGCTGGAAAACGAATCAGCTCTTTCCAGCTGGACCCTAAAAGAAGGAAGACAAAGGCGCTTTAACAGCTTAACTCTGTGATTCAAACTGGAGCAGCTAAAGGATGATAAAATACTTTTTCAAAGACGTCCGTGATGCTTGTACCTTGTTGAGGATCCCTCCATGTCTTCCTTTTCTTCTGGGTCATCACTGGTCAGTGACTTGTAGCTCTGAGCTGGACTCAAAGCCTGCTCCACATAATGCCTGGTGGGGGTGTGATTCACAAATCAATCTACTAATACCATAACTTTAATGCCTTTGTCTGGTGATCAGCAGGTCAAATATTAGAATAAAATCCCATTATAAACCTCTATTTATAAATCTGGGGCTCCTTTGTGTAACTCCCTTCTAATCATATTTAAACTGGATGAATGTGGAACATAAATTATAGTCAGAGTGACTTAATTAGTTTTACTTTGTTTTCATCAAGACACCCGAGTTGCTTTTATGAGCTCAGTGTGAAAAACAGCTGATCCCAGGCTGTTCTTTAAATTCAGTCTGTTCCTCTGCTTGGTTTGATGTGTCACAGCTAAAGGTAAACTAAAAGAAAAACCTTTTGGTTGATAAACCAAACATGGAGAGGCTGCGTTCAGCTTCTATGTTCCACATGTCTGAAACAAACTCCCAGAAAATCTTAGATTAGCTGAAACACTTAGTTTATTTAAATCCAGGCTGAATTGTTTTCTTTCCCTTTTGCTTATAATGTTTTATGTAAAGCACTTTGAATTGTTCTTTACATGAAATGTGCTATACAAATAAACTTGCCTTGCCTAAAAGCTGGTTTAATTTTTCTATTGGGTCCTCACAAAACAAAACAGATCCCAGCCCTATTTTATCCTACTACTGTACCTCAGAAATAAAATATTTTCATGTACCCCTTGCAATACACGCACGGACCACTAGATGTACATATAGCCTAAGTTGGGAGTCACTGCCATAAAGGGGAATCCACTGTAGCAGCAACCTGTCCAAACAGAAAGCAAACTAATATGTCATGTGTCTACTATGTCATGCACAATTAAAAGATAAATCTAGCCAACAGAAACAATTACAGCATAATGTAAAAATCTGGAAGGGATGAGAGTTTCTGAGCAGCGGTTAGTTAAGAGGTAAATGACTGGAAGGCATCAAACTAAAACCCGAGGATAAAACCTGCCTCTGATCTAAAACTCCACCAGCTTTCTTTGAAACTCGACTCTCCCAGAGTGAATCCAGCTTCCTTTAATAAACACCAAGGAGTTTTCAACATACTTGAGAAAATTTGTTTAAATATATAAGATCAGACACACAACAGACCCACCATGTTGAGTTTGTCCCTGTTCTGGAGGCTGATCTGCCAATAAGAGGCCTCAGCAGGAAAACAAGACTACAATATTTTAGAAACTTTTATCTATTGTTTTCCAAACTGGAATCAACAGATCACTGACAAAAAGACGTCTGCTGTGGTAGTGCCAGCAGACGGATGGAGTCTTAAAATGTCTCAAAAACACAACATCTGCTGACATTACTTTTTTTAAAAATACTAAAGTATGAATTTTTTATCCATCGCCTGAATCCACACTATCTAAATTTGACCAAAGAGACAGTAATCAGAGGCACGAGGCATTATGAGATGGATAAGTGATTCAAGCTGTAATCAGGGAATTATTTAACTGCAACGGAGAAAAAAAAAAAAAGAGACTGAATAAAAAATAAATTTCAGTTATATTTATATCCTGCTTTGTAATCCAGGGCAGAATCATCAGCAGCTTGTGTTAAACATTAGCAGGTCTCCTCTCTGCACTCTTGAGTCTAGCTGCATGCATGTGTTTAAGGGTGAGGCAGCAGCCTGTGAGAGAGAACTGAGGGAAGCAGGGGGAGACTGACAGCAGCTGTATAGTACGGTAGTAACAGTAGAATGGTTCCTGCTTCCAGTTAAGTCGTTACAGTCAACAAAAACACATAGAAAAGTCTTAAGATTTTTCTCAAGTGGTTTTTTTAGAAGCAAAAGTTTTTAGAGGCTTTGAAATTCCCCCAAAATAATGATAAAGTCGTTCGGTTATCAACACTGGACTGTCGTCTCCAGTTTTCCTTCTCTACAGAGAGCAGAGCAGAGGAATGTAGCCACCAGTTAGCTTCATATGCTAACTTCACAGCAAGACAGACAGGAGCCAATGGCAATGGCTTTCCAAAAATGAAGTGAAATTTAACATTTCATGATAAAATAAGTGAGTAAATATGCAGCGTGCTGTATAAAATGCTTTATATTGTTTTAAAATTCTTTGGTAAATTTGAAGGGTGGAGGCTTTTATTTGGCTGCAGCGGTGCACCACCATCAATTACCTGTGGAGGAAACCCTGTCGTGATCACATAGTTTCTGGAAGCTTTTTGTTTATCCATGTGACTGACTGAATTTATTCTGGACTAATGGTCTAACAAATATACAAGATAAAAATGAAAGAATACAAATAGAAAAGTACAATACAAGCACAAGTTACAATTAGATAGGAGATTTAAGGAGACATGAATGATTAGACTAAAAGAGTTAGTAATCAGACGGATGGACGAGTGAATTTAGGCCAAATGAAACAAGCTTTTCTTTTTTTTCGGGGAGAAAACCTCCTACCAGACTTAAAGTACATATCTGCCTCCCTCTAAGGCAATACTCAGTGCTTTAGTAATGAATCCCCTAAACCCGATGAAAGCAGCTAACAGACAGTAATGCTAAAAGCCCCTGTGTTGTACTTTGTTCACCAGTAAAAGCTGCTTTCATTGTGTTTAAGTTTATACTTGTTTTGGCGAGACGGGACCTGAGAACATGGCGATGACCTTTGCCCTTTTCTTGTTCATCAGCACACCCTTTCTATCTCTGTATTACTGAAGTAATTATAAGCATGTTCAGGTCGGTTAGAAAGCACCAGTCAGGATCTGAAGAGGAAAAAGTCAAAGGGGCTAAAAAGTCTGCGTACCAGTTGCTGGTGTCCATTGGCGTTTCTTCCAGGTCCAGAGACGGTCTCCTCTCAGGAATATAGTAAAGATCTTCCTCATCAATGAATTCCTCCCCATCTCCCCTGCCAGAAACGGCATCCCCAATGGAGGAATCATCCGATAACATGATGGAGTCGTCCATTGTTTCACGATGAAGGCGCTACAAGTGCGAGGACCCAGGATGATCACAGGATGAAGTGCCTGAACCTGTACGCCAGAGAGACAAAAAGGAGAGAGAAATACCGGTAAGAACCAGATATTCAGGTTTAATCCGCCCCAGCTGCTCCACGATCATTTTACTTTCTGAACAAGCATGAAAAACTGAACACAACATCTGAGGTGCACTCAGAAAAAGAGCCATTGATTTTTTATCATAACAATAATTGTAGAAAAGGACAGAAATCTGGTTTACAATAATTACTACAAAGGACTTTTCTAAATAAAAAGTTATGCCACTTTATTTATTCTTCAGGTTATTGGTAAATACTAATCCTGGCATCCATATTAATAAAGTAAGCTGCCACTGAGGGAAAGGAAACTATAAATATAAAGGATAGGAACAACAATAATTTGAGTCTTATTGTTCTCATCGAAATGCTTTGCATGGCTTAGGATGATGCTTTTAGGAAAAAAAAATTTATTCTTTAGTGAAAGTTTTCATTATTGACATGAAAAAAGAACAAAACCGTGTTGACAAAACCTGGTAATTGTTCTCTAAGAGCCATGGATAGGATGTGATTTCTGACTCAACTTAATCAATAACTTATCTTATATAATTTCTAACCATTTCATTTTTGCAAATGATTCAATCACTTTACCTAATTTAAGAGTCTGGTCCATTTGCTCCATCTTTTACTGTAGAAGTCTGCTTGTAATCTCACCATAAAACTTAATCGTTCCAGTTTAAGAGTCTCTTCAACCAGTTTCAACTATTCCTGTGTTAGAGGGTTATGCTGCTACAGATGATCCTTCCCACCTACAGCTATCAGCCCTTAAAACAACTGCTTGCAAAAAGCAGGTATAAACCATGAGTTACTGCAGGGTTTAATTTCCCTTTGGGAGTAATAAAGTATTTCTGAATTTATTTTTGGGACTGAGTATTTTATTAGGAGCTTATCATTTAGATTCCAAACTGTAAGGAAATGTTGTTCACTTGGACAACAAACTAGACTGGAGACACAGCTGTGAAGCCGTCTATAAGGAGGACAGAGCAGTTTGTACTTCCAAAGGAAGCTTAGGTTTTTCAGCATTTGCAGCAAGATGCTATGCTAAGAAATCCTGCAAAACCTGTGGAGATTATTTCACAAAGGAAAATTCTTCATAAAGTGAAGAAGATTATTGACAACAGTGACGTTTTTTTTAGAGGTTTTTTTAAACAACAGCTGAGTGTCTTGAGTCAGAGACTTCTCCAGATCCTGTTTAAGACAGATTGCTACAGAAGATTCTTCCTGCCTACAGCCATCAACACCTATAACAGCAGTTTAAAAAAATAACGTACGTGTTACTGCAACATTTAATTTCCCTTTGGGATTAATAAAGTATCTTTTAATTGAATTTCTCCCAACAAATAGTCATAAAATTTGTTGGAATTTAAAACCAAATATTAATAAAATTTGATCTCAAACTTTCTCTCAATACGGGGCAGGATAAAAAAAAAATGTGTTGGCGGTTCTTCTTTCTATCTGCCCAGCCGCTTCAGCTTTTTTATATCCGTTTTATTTTTCCTTATTCAGCTTTTGGAGGTTGACCAGTTTCTTTAATGGTGTGTTCAGACAGCACACGTTGAAGGCGGTGTTAATTATTTCAACTTACTTGGAGTTTCCTCTGTGCCTGAGTTACGCTCGATGCCAGTCGCCTCTGACTATCTAGAAACATAACGCTTAGATTGTTTCCGACCCAAAGCTAATTAAGGAAAATGGGCCACAGCCTTATAGATGCATTGGTGTTGAACTACTGAGGTGTCAGTCTGATCATCAAATGATGTTTTAGTCATAAAGGGTAAAGCAAAAAAGGCTATTTTAAAGATACTTGTTGGTAAAAATGTACATAATCTCTTTAAACAAGCCATCTCCTAGACCAACAATCTAGCTTTAAATTTAGAAGTTAAAACTGTCAAGCCGTGGTGCATTTTGTTCAATTTTGCATGCTAATGTAGGATTTAGTCAGTTGGACAGCACGTCCAGGCAGAACCCACAACTGACACTAATGATATTGGTATAAATGCTAAAGGTCACAAAGTGATAGTGGTTCACATGAGAGAATTGGTTAGAAAAGAAGAATATAAAATATCATAACAGTACTTGCTAATATTACAGCTATTAAAAGATTTTCTAATATGTTTCCTCGCCGTTGAGAATGTTTAGCCATGTTTAGGTTAGAGACTGGTTGTATGGCAGAAATTAACATGTTTTCGTACAAAATAAGAGCATGAACCCCATAAAGAAAAGATTTGATGAAGATTCTGACTAAAACAGATAAGAGTGTCACCAAATTGACCTTAAGCTTTAAAGAGACTTGGGGAAGAAGTCACTACTTTGACAGGAACATAACAAAGCTGGATTATAGCTTCCAAAGAACTTTGGGGAAAATAGAGAATTTTTTCTAGAAAATATCCTCCTTCCTAAGGATGTCTGCATGTTTCACTGAAGGAGGGACATGTACACTTCACAAACGACACCATATCACGAGAGAAAAACATATCATCAAGCAACATCTGGCTCCCTCAAATTGAGATAACCTACTTTTTAGTTACAACGTGGTTCATCGACAATAAAGACAACATTTTTGAGAAGAAAGAAAAACCCTGATCTCAGTCTGAGGTTTTTTGTTTTTTTTTTTTGCAGAAAAGGTGTGTGAGCAAGGTGACATAAGAACCTGGATAATTAATACAAGTCCAACAAAGGTCTGAGTAAGAATACACAAACCGACTGACTCAAAGGCAGCTCCACCAAACTCTGAAGCCATGTGTGGAAAGACCCTTAAACAGAAACTAGTGCATCCTAAAGGTAAACCCCCCAGACCAAAGATGAGGAGAGTGGTATATGGAGTTCAGTGCAGTGAGGAATGCTCTGATCTTTATATTGGAGAAAGCAAACAACCTCTCCACAGACGCATGGCCCAACACAGAAGAGCGACCTCCTCAGAACAAGACTGGGCAGTACATCTACACCTTATAGACAAAGGACATTATTTTGAGGACCAGAATGTTCGCATTTTGGACACCGAAGGCAGGTGGTTTGAAATGGGTGTAAAGGAAGCCGTCAGTGTTAAGAGAGAAAAAAACAACCTCAGAGGGGGTGGACTCAGGTTCCAGCTCTCAAAAACCTACAACGCAGCGATTGAGTTGATTCCTTCATGCCATCACCTCAATCCTCATCACCATGAAGGGGATCAAAACACCTCGCCTGGTCAGCCAGGCCAAGAACGACCCTAATGACTCCCTTTTTCAGAGGCATAGGCTAGTATCGGGTATTGCAGACAAACAACAACCCCCCTTATTGCTAAGGGGTGGGCCTGTTCTTCCTGTTTAATTTGCATGTTTTCTAAGCCATAACAAGGCTTTGTTGGGCTTCTCCATAAAGCTTGAAACTCAACACTAATCCATACACTTTGAATTGAAAAAGGTTCCTGGATGGGAAGCGAAGCGTCTTCAAACTTAGGGAAAAAAAGTGCAGTGGTTTGTTTTTTAAACTTTTTTGGAAAGACTATGACCTGGATGACTAAAAAACTTCACCATCAAACACTGGATCAAATGATCAACAGGGGGCAGGAAGAGTGGGATGATACAGTTGCATTCAGAGTCATAAACATAAACTGGAAAAATAATCCAAGAGGTTGATGTGTTTTAGAGACCTAATTCTGAATGTGAGACACTGGTGGACAGATGAGCTATATATAAAATACAACTGTTCATAACTTCCATTTCTACATCAACTGATGATTATTAAAAATAATTCGTTTATGAATCAAAAGTTTCAAGTAGCCCATGGGCAGATGATCGGAGGCTGAACATCTTACGGTGTTCTGCTGACCTTTCTACCAAAAACTTTATGTAAAGTATTGTCAGTTAGCTTTGCGGAGCACTTCGTTGTCGGTTGTTTCAGATAGAGCCAGTTTACACAAAACTATGACTCATATAATCACAGCCGGAATAAAAATATTAAAGCGCAGGTATTAATGTGATATATTATTATCAATAAATAATAAAATATCTTCAAAATGAGTAGTTAGCTCACCTTGTTTTACCCAAGGCTTCCTAATGCGGAAGTAGTTTTTCTCGTTTGCTGTCAAAGTTCGTCTTCTTCTTCTGCTGTTTTTTGTCGGGTTCCCCCTAAAAAAAAAACTAAAATGGCGCATTACCGCCCCCAGCTGGTATGGAGTATGGACAGGAACCGTTCTTAAAAACACACACAAAAAACGGAATATAATATCAAATAAACCAGTTTTAAAAAATAACTGTTAAATACTTAAGTCACGGAACTTCTCTGTGTTAATTCAATGGTAGGCCTGTTTAATATACTGTTAATAAATCTCATTCTTGCTTTTCTGTATTTCCTGCAGTACAACAGAGAATGTTCTACGGTTTCATTTTCTCCACACTTATCAAGTTTATTTGATGTGTTTCGTTTCCCTTTTATGAATGCAGTACTGTTTAATGCTGTGTAATCCTTAATCTAATCCTCCTGTTTTCAGTTGAATTCTGTAAAACCGTCTACCTTTTCTCTTTTCTACCCCCTTGTTTTTGTAAATGTAAATCCCTTTATAGCAGTGGGCTGCCATTGTGTGGCCCCCGGGGGAGCAGTGTGGGGTTGAGGGTCTTGCTCAGAAACCCAGAATGGAGGCTGTGGGTATTTGCAACCTTCTCATAGCACAAGCTCACGGCTCTAACCACTAGGCCAACACTCTGCATTATTTTACAATCGATCCCTCATTTTCTTCTATATAATACTTTCAACTTTTGCTCTACTGACTGATATTTTCAACTACAATATGCCAGGCAGCTTTCTTTGCAACTTAATTTTTTTATTGCCAATGTGAGGAATATATATCTATGCAAATAGAACAGCTAATCCTATCATTTTGATTCTAAACGGCTTTATTATTATTTTTTTTTTTAATTCAAGGTCTTTGATCTGCGGAACAACCATTTTTCAAATTAAGGCTTAATGAACTGGAATCTTAAAGACTGATTATGTTAGCCTTATTATAATGGTATTGTACATAAATGAAATACTCTTTATTTCTGTCACAGTTTGGTTGAGTTTGGATGACTCAAATGCAGAGGGGTGCAGAGGTGAGTATCTTGAAGATTTAATTGAATAATCACAAATAAACTGAGGCAGGAATCCAAAGTTCCAACATGAAAATATTAAACAAACTAGAACCATGGAGACATCAGGGAAAACAAGCACAAGGAGCCGAGGTAAGACGAGGAATCAGCACTGAGGAACTACACAAGGAGAGTATTTATGGGAGACTGGACAAAGAGAGGACTAACGAGCTGATTGGGAGCAGGTGTGAAGAGAGGAGTCTAGAAAGGAGCTAGGGAAAAGGAGACCAACACAAGAGGGCAACAAATAAAAACCTAAGAACCCAAATACATCCAGAAAACACAACAAAATAGGAATCAAACCAATAAAACCAGAAACACGGAGCAAAGCAAAACTGAAAAAACTAAAAAAAAGACTTGACAGAACCAAGACTGTGACAATTTCAATACTTTTTTTGTTTGTTTGTTTGTTTAAAAATAGGAAGTAAAGTCTCTTAAGAAGGCTGTGAATTGCAGACAAATTTGTGTTGTAAAATGATTAAATATTTTTGTAAACCAGACATCTGTAAGAAAAGGTGGCACGACCTAATAAATGATCATTTAAACTTTAATACAGATTAACATGAAACATATTAGATCTACAATTTGTTTATTAATCTATCTGTGAATTATATTGTAAATACGGCTTAATATTGAGCATTATGCTTCAAGAACTGCTGTAAACCCTGAAGCCAATCAGTGGTATATATATACATAAGGAGCTCTGCCACTGTTCTGTTCCACTACACTGCACTTTGTGTGAGATGGAGGCACAGCAGTGACCTGTATGGGGGGTGATGAGTGCCTGTAGGCAAGATGTAAAAAAATTGGTATCAGAATATACATTATTCTTATTTTTATTTCAAGTCCAGTTTTAGAAAATTAAATCATTTTGAAGTTGTGGCAGTCCCCTTCTCAATGTACATCACTTTAAAATTTGTATATTCCATTTTTCTGTTTCTTAAACATTGTTACAGATGACTCCAACAGTCCATTAATGCAACATCTTCAAACTTGGAGACAAAGTCCAGTGGATTGCTTTTTAACTTTTTTTTTTATGACAATGACCTGGATGACTGAGAATCTTCACCAGCATATTACTACAATTATTTACAAATTTGAAAAAATTAGCTGCTGCAAGTGGTGTATGATCCCATTTCTGGAACAGATTGGTTAAAATGAGTGATTTAACAGAAAGGATGTGAACAAATATAATCTTTTTGAAAAGTTGTTACTAACTGTTTACCCAATGTTGTATAGAGTGTCTTTTATATTTAGGAAGACAAACAAATAAGTTTCATCCCTTTTTATAAAGGGTAAGCAATGGTGACCCTGGTATATTTCTGGTTGTGCAAATGCACTGATGGTACGGATCGTACTACTGGCGCAGCTGATCCTATAACTGGCAAACAACAGAGAACAAAAGAGGACCTGGAGGACTTAATAATAAAAATAACTGAACTTTATTGATCTCAAAATGGAGAAATGTACCTCTGCATTTAACCCATCCCCTTGGGGAGCAGTGGGCTGCCATTGTGATGATAAGGGGGTTAAGGGTCTTTCTCAGAGACCCAGAGTGGAAGTCTGTGGGAGTGGGACTCGAACTCAGAACCTATGGATTCCAAGCTCTATGCCAGGGGTGTCAGATTTGCGGACTGCGGTCCAGATCCGGACCCACCTGCTCACTAATCCGGACCCAGCCTGATTTCAAACATTTATAAAATACCGCATGTTGTCCGACGGCAGCGTCTAATTCACTTGCCCCACTTCTCCTGTTTGTACAGTAAAGCCCTCCGGGAGCAGCACGTGATGCATATTAGCCAATGAGCTGTGTCAGTCAGGGCTGTTGCAGCTAGTTAAACTAGCTGAAGATGACCCTGCACATTTTGAGTATGTTTGACTCAACCTATTGCTGTGAAGCAGTATTCTCCATGAACATAATCAAAAATAAATATCAATCCAGGCTAAAAATGTGCACCTTGATATGTGCTTTAGAATGGCTTTGTCTCGTATCAAACCCAGATTTAAAACCTTGCAGGGCAGCCTAAAGCCCACTTCTTTCATTAAACCAAAAAAATAAATAAATAAAATAAATAGTCAGTTCAGGTATTTTATAAAATATGTGAATCAGGAAATTGTCTATATACCAAACTGAAAGATTGTTCTCTACTTATAAAAACACTTTAGATTTTAAAATGGAAAATTTTTCTATTTTTTTTTTTTTTCCATTTGAAAAGTCAATGTATAACATGGATGCATCAAAACCTCATTTTATTTCAGTCACAGGCGGATGTACTGGGGTGGCATAGGTTGGCAAATGCCACCCTAAAACACAGTCTTGTCACCCCTGCTGCCACCCCAGGTGGTGGTAGGCGTGGCGAGGCTTATGAATTATGGCTAATTTGACAGTTACTGACTGCTAATCCTCAATGTCGGACTGCAGTGAATGTGGCACAAGATTTTTCACCAAACTGTGATAACTGGGATTACATACAGTATAACCAAATGCCATATGTTGCCACCCCTCAAAAATTCCTGCCCCCCTCTCTCCACCCCATTAATATTTTTCTAGATCATTGTGCCAGAACTTTCTGAAATTGAGGGAAAAGCTGAGATGGTTGTTTTTGGAGCAAAAGAGAAACAATTAAAAGTCTGCGCTCAGCTTCAAACCACAATGTTAAAAACAACAGACAAAGCCAGAAATCTTGGTGTAGTCATGGACTCTGACCTAAATTTTAACAATTAAGACAATTGCAAAGTCAGCCTATTATCACCTTAAGAATATAAGGCGATAATGGTTTTTATGGTTAAAGGACTTATGTGTCAACTGTCATCCTCAGTAGACTTGACTACTGTAACGGGGTCTTTACAGGTCTCCCTAAAAAATCAATCAGACAGCTGCAGCTGATTCAGAACGCTGCTGCTCGAGTCCTCACTAAGACCAAGAGACTGGATTACATCATTCCAGTTCTGAAGTCCTTACACTGGTTTCCTGTGTCTCAAAGAATTAATTTCAAAAAACTTTTGCTAGTTTATAAATCACTAAATGGTTTAGGGCCAAAATACATATCTGACCTGCTAGTACACAATGACCCCCCAGACCTTTAAGGTCATCTGGGACAGGTCTACTTCCTGTTCCTAGGGTCAGAACTAAACAGGGGGGAGCAGCTTTTAGTTTCTATGGTCCTCACATCTGTAATAAACTCCCAGAAACCTGCAGGTCCGCTGCTGCTTTCAGTTCTTTTAAATCAATGCTGAAGATTTCTTTACTGTTTAATCTCTTGTACTGCACTGTCATTGTTATTATTGTTTTTTATTTTTTTTATTTTCAACTGTTTCTTCTGTGTTTTATTTCTTTTTTTCAACTGATTTTATATAAAGCACTTTGAATTGCACTGTTGCTGAAATGTGGCATACAAATAAAGCTGCCTTGCCTAAATCCGCTAGCCTGACGTAGTCCGACTCAATTCTAGTCAGAATATGAGTCTGATACTGCTCCATAGAGCTGTGATTATGGGGCGTGTTTTGAACGAACCAGGAAAAAAATGCCTCTGTACTCAATTGGATAGACCTACAACCAATAAGAGCAACGGAGTGCGTGACGTATGTTAAGCGAGGCATAGTTGTTGTCCACAAAAATCAAAGCGTGCAGTTTCACGCCTAGAATAAGAAGATGAGACTTGATCGTGTTTCTCTGTTCCTCTTTTAAAATTAATTTGCTGTCGATATCTTCTAGAACAGATCTAATAGCAGAATCTACTCACCCAAACTCTCCAGCGGCAGCCATTATTGTTGTCACCCAAGCGCGCTTTGGTCACGTGGTTGATAACGTTACTCTTGATCATCTGTCCATCATCGTTTAAAGCCCGCCCTGACAATTTGATTGGATCGCCTGACAGTGGGCTTTAATACTCGCGCTACTATGGAGCAGAGCCAGACCGAACTTCCCCGACCTCAAACCTTGTGGGCGGGACTAAGTTCGGACTGGCACCCAGGCTATAAATCCGCCCCTGATTTCAGTGTTATATTTTGTTTAAAGTAACAGATTATAACAAAAAATGTCTACAGGCCTATATTGGTTGTTGATTTTCTTTATTTGGACCCTGCTGATTTTTAATTGGTTACCCCTGATCTAGGCCCTAACTAGTAGACCTTCACTCCCCCAATATTACTTAAACTTATTGCGATCAAGTGAAACAGAACCCAACTGTAAAAATGAAACAGATATCTTTATTTTTTTTTTGAGAAAGCATTCCCTAAATCCCTGCAGTAATAGCCTACTAGTTTAAAACCGAGCACTGAGTTACACTGCTACAACACGGTGCCAAATGTTGGCGTGTGTCGCTGCTGTGGCACTAATCACCCGGCATACATGGAGAGCTCGCCTGCTGGAGGCAGAGAGGACTGTGACTCCATGTCTGGGAAAGCAGAGGGAGGGAGGGAGGATGCTCAGACCTCTCAGACGGGAGGATGTAGAGAACAGTCTGCGTGTTGTTCGCTGCTGTGGACGGTCCTGGGATGTATTTGGGAAGCAGAGAGCCTCCATCATCATCGCCTGACATGAATGCTAAGTGAAGGCGCTCATTTAAAGGAGTGAATCTGCCCCAGCCTGCTGGGCTGCGCTCATCTCCCATCAGACACACATTTGGACATCTTGGACCTTTTCCTCCTTCCATTCACGTTTTCAAACATTTAAAGCCGATTTCATTATTTTTTAAAGCTATTTGAATACATTTTCTGCCCTTATTTATTTTTAGCCATTTTTTATTGTTATTTTGAGACGCGAGTTTGCAGAGTTGGGTGTGTTTTCCTTCTGTGAAGCTTCAAGACAAACTTCTTCAATGGCTCTGATTATGGAGCCAGTGAGCAAGTGGAGCCCCAGCCAGGTGGTGGATTGGATGAAAGGTGGGTGCATTATTTTCTTGTATTTATTTAACATTTTCTAATCAAACTGTTGCAGTGAGATGAAGTGTTGCGCAGCGATTCCTCACATTCCGATACAAACTGATCCGAGATGCAGGAATGGAGCAAAACACCTGCAGATCCTCAGCCTCCTTGTAAACAAATATTTTAGGAAATGCACGGATCTGTTTTGCTGGATTATTTTAGGAAATGCACGGGGCGATGTTTCTCCGGAGCGCAGCGCATCCAAACTGCTTCTTTGTTTCTATTGTTGGATTAGAGCGTCAATCCTCACGGAGACTGGGAATAAAAACAGAGATCTAGTGATTCTTCCCAAACGATGGTGCCAGAATCCGCGTTCAGACTAAAAACTGGCTGAAATTGTTTTGGGATTCTGAGTGAATGGAGTTAAAAAGATCAAGCACTGTGTCAGAAAGCTCCAAGTTAGCGTCAGCTGACAGACTGACCCTGGAGTTAAAGCCACCTCATATCTAAATAGTTTTTTCACATATTTGACGGCATATTTAGGTCAGTTTCTCTTTTTCTTTAGGCATTATGGTTTTTATTTCGTGGTAATTTAAGCCACCCTCCTAAAAACAAGCTCCATTATCTCATACTCAGGGTCGGAGCTAGATGGGGGGCCAGAGGTGGCCATGGCCACTCTTAAAGGGGAATTTCTTTTCTTTTTTTTTTTTTTACACCTTATTTTACACCTTAACCTTGATTTTACGTTATTACTTCATGATCTACTCCCCTATATGAGTTTTGTGTCATTTGGAGCTGTTCTGAAGATATTCCGTTAGGTTTTTATCTAAGTAATGAGTTCCTATGGGCCATTGACTTGAAGGCACAAACTAAACTGTTCATAATTTATCATTTATGGTACGCCAGCATTCATAGCATGTAGGCGAATCACTGTCCCCCAGATATCCGCGGTTATATTTTTTAACCAGACTCTGAAGAGGATGCCCAATTTTTCCATTTTGCCAGACTCACCATTGGAAAGTGAAAATGGGGATGAGCACGTAGGACGGCCTTATGTAAACATATTACCAGAATGATTGACAATTAGGAGGACATCTTATTTAGATGATCCACCCGGAAAAAGAATATCCTCCTATATACCTTTAAGTGATGATAGAAAATGGGAGGGAATTATGAAATCTTTTTTTTTACCATGATAGAAAAGGAGGTTCTTATCTATTTTTTTTTTTTAATGTAAAGTAAAATCTATTAAATTTGAGAAAATAAATTCAATTCATGGAGCAAAGAGTAACCATTTCTCTGAGGGGCAACCAGAACCAGTTTTTTATTTAAAGGTCCTGCTAACAGCTCAAAGTCTCTCACAGCATTAATTGATGGATTACAGTAAAAACAGATCTACATCACAGTTAGCAACCAGTTCATGAAACAAGGAGGCAAATCATCCTGACAGTGTGTCAGAGTGACATACCCTGTAATAAGTATTATTTTAAAAACATATTTAGCCATTTTTTTAATGAAACAATCATGATTTACGATACAAGAGAAAACCTTTGAAAATATTAATTAATTAATTGATAACTTGCATACCTAATCAGAAAAGCAAATTTCACAGTAAAGCAATTATTTTAAAGCAAGTTATTACACTCAAATGGTAGTCTGTTAATACGTTTTATTGCTTCTCTGCTTTTTCCTCTGATTTTACTGTTGCTGTACTCCTATTAGTTGAAAAAGCAAACAAAGATTGTGAAGAGATTGAAAATGTATCCTAACAAAGCTTTTATTATTATAAAAGGGAGAGTCCTCTAGTTCCTTTCAGATGGTAGCAAAGCTTCCTGGAGGCGTTATCCATCTGTTAAACGGTAATGTTGAAACAAATCTGACAAGCCATTTTAAAAACCTGGAAATTTAAGAAAACATTTTTGTTGTTGTGATGAATTTGTCACCACTCAGCTTTGGTAGCCGTGTCAGCTTAGTGTATTGCTTTGATGCAGAGATTTGTAAATGCCCCAAACAGCTGTTGGGGATTTTTAAATCCTCAGCCCACTCCCACTCTTGGCACAGATTCCTTATGCTTACATTTGTCTGTTTGGGTTACAAAGTTATTCCAGTTATTCCAGCTATCCCAATGTGATTGGAATGGAAGTGGATATTTGTCCCCCTGGGAGGGAATTCTCTGTCTTTTCTTATAGCAGTTGTTTATTATTTGGGAGGGCTTTGTGCTCACGTGTCAGGCCACAGGTCTCCACATCCATACATCTGTAACGCTTCAGCACACACATATATAAATATAGCCTGCTAATTCGCAGCCTGTTGGTCGCTGCTGTAGCTGCTTTTTCAGACTTGTTATAGCGGACCTGCACATTATAAAACAATAACTGGTGAAATTTGAAATCTGAAATTTCTTTATGTGACAACATTGATTTTATTTACAACTAAGATCCGAAAAAAAAAAAAAAAAAACTCTACAGCTGCTATATATTGTTAGTTACATCACTGTAGAGATCTGTAAAAAAAAAAAAAAAGATCTATTTTTTTTTTTGTCAAATTTAAATTCATATTTATTCTATTTCGGTCACGTTAATAACATGCTGCTGTCGTTTTGCACATCTCTGGCGTTGCAGCTGTTTTCCCATATCCACTACTTTAAAATGTCCACAGTTGCATATTGATTATTTATTCTTCGGGTGACTGCACAGTATTTATATTTGTAAAAACACTGTACAGTACAGTATTTTATTTTGTTTATTATTTTTTTAAAGCCTGCCACCTATTTTTTTTTTCACTTTTAAGGTCCACATTTGTGTGAACATTTTCCTATAATCTTTTGCTGCTGTAACACCACAATTTCCCCATTGTGGGACAATAAAGGAATTTTCTATTCTATATTTATAAACCAGGCAGAAATTACGTAAGAATTTTTTTAGACATTCATCATTCATTTTGGGATAAAAACTTCCAAACCAAAGTGGCATTATGTGAAAAAGTAAATTACCCCTTTTTATCTAATAATTGCTGGTATGATTTTTGCCTTGGCAGTATCTATGGTTATCAGGCCTTGGTGAAAATTGCCATTCAGTCCGTTCCAGGGGGAAATTTGGCCTCTTGCAGAATTGTTTTAAATAATGGAGTAGTTTGGACCATCAGTGCTTCTTTTAAGGTTGAGCTGCAGCGTTAGCGTTTCTCTGAAAAAGGCATAATTATTGATAAGCTGAAAAATTCTAGTATTTGAAAAAAAGCTAGATTGGTAGGATCAATGCTCGAGGGGAAGATTTCATATAAAAGCTGAGAATAATAATTCAACAAAATGGATAACTTTGAACTCCTCCTGGCCAGTAAGTGGTGCTCTCATGCCCCCCTGCTCTGCTACTGCTTGCCAGCCAGTTGCCATGGTGTCAATACCCAATCTGTACTGGAAGCATGAGCCGTGGCCCGTACCATCAGGTCCTCTACACATGTGGAATCAGAGATGAATAATGTAATCTAAGGCTGCAAATAATGATTATTTTTCAATTAATTGATTAATAATCCGATAGCCAAAGGTTCCATAAAGAAGATTTTTTTACAGAACTAAACCATTAAGCATTTCCACTCGTTTTTTCTATTTTTTTTTTATCTTAAATGCAACATTTTAATATATTTTTTTACAATTCTGATATGATTACTGCCCTAAAGAGGTCGCTCTGTCAGCTAAAGGCATGTTTTAGAGTCTCTGTACTCCAGTTAACGATTAATTAATTACTAAATTAGTTGAAGGTTATTACAATAATCCATTAATCTGATTCATTGTTTCAGCCCCGATGTAACCATGGTACAGAAATTACTTAAAGTCCTTAAATTATTAAAGCATACTGAACTGTACTGAAATAAATATTAAAAATGACTTTGCAATCCGTGTATCATTCGTTCTTTCTATTTTCAATTGCCAATCAAAAAACAAAAAATAAAAAATTGACTGGTTATTTTGTTATTTGTTTTTTATGGTTAAACCAAAAACGAAAAAAGGATTTGTTTTTCATATATCAATTCTAAGCTCAGATCAAGAATACGAAATGGAAAAACGGACAGCAACGCAGAATTTGTTTTTAATATTTAATCAGTACAGTTTACGTGACCCGGAAATAGCTCTTTGCGCAGCAGTTGGGGTAATGAAGTGGCTACCATGGCGACGCTAGAACCACACACTATGTTGATCGAGAAGCTGTTTGTTGTTGCTAGTTAAAAGTACAGTGCACAGAAAAGTTTCAAGAAAAAAGTTATACCTGGAAAATCCTGCAAATTTTCTCCGTTGTCATGTCCTCCTCAAGAGTCACACGCTTGGATCCTCGAAATAAAACGTAACTGTCCATGGCTGATAGGTCCGACTGCCTTATCTGGTGCAGTTTGATCGAACGTGGTGGGAGTAAGCCAATTGTTTTTTTAGCTAACGCTCCACCAAACTTCCGGGTCATGTAAACTGTACCGATTAAATATTAAAATCAAATTCTGCGTTGCTGTCCGTTTTTCCATTTCGTATTCTTGATCTGAGCTTAGAATTGAAATATGAAAAACCAATCCTTTTTTCGTTTTTGGTTTAACGATAAAAAACAAAAAACAAAATAACCAGTCAATTTTTTATTTTTTGTTTTTTGATTGGCAATTGAAAATAGAAAGAACGAATGATACACGGATTCTTTGCTGGTAGAATAGATTTGTTTGCATTCTTTTCCTTATGTTACCCGTCTGATGTCTGTATTTTGGTTGAAATGCAAACATGAAACCAAAATTACCTTAATTATTTACAAATCCAAAGTTGACAAATGGGCTGAAGTATGGCAGGGATCGCATTTCTCTGACAGATAGGAGTGATTTAAAAGAAAGGATATAAACGGGTTCCTTCTCTGAGCAAAGTTGTTATTAACATTTTACAAAATGCAATTTAATACACTTCTTAAAATTAAGAATATAAATAAGTAACTTTGGATCTTTTTTAAATAAAGCGCAATCAATGGCACATCAGAGATCTTTCTGGTTGTGCAAAG